CTCTCTCTCTCTCTCTCTCTCTCTCTCTCTCTCTCTCTCTCTCTCTCCAAAGTGTGTGTGTTATATTAGTTTGGTTCAGCCAAATATACACATCGCACGGGGAGTACAACAACAAAACAAAACAACCAATTCGGAATACCTAAGGAAGAAGCTAGCTGTAAACTTGTTTAAAGTTTTTATAAATAAATTTGGGGCATATTATTCTCATGAGTGATGAACCGGTTCACATGTTAGAGGAAAACTGCGAGGAAATGAGTATGGTCTATGGAGAATTAAAACTAGTATCGATATAACATGTGCGTGTCTTGCTTGTTCTTGCTATATCATTGAAGCTTGTGTACGTGTACATATATAGAGCATCATACAACAAACACACACACACCATTGGACAATCCACTCAAGCTGTTGTACACGTTTACATCAATTTGCCGATATGCATTATTAGTTTTCTAAGAGCGATTATGTTGGGACCTCTATCACCCATCGATGGTGGAATCTTGCAAGTTCTTCGTAAAACTATATCGAAAGTTACTCCAAGGACTTCTCTCGATATTATGTGTTACCTTCAACTTATTGAAATTAATGTTGTTATTTAAAATATACACATTTTTTTGTCATACAGCAGATGTGAACATTTTTTCAACGCTATTTAATACTACAGAATTATAACGTTCACCCCTTTGTTTGCTTCAATTGATAATTTAGACGCCAAAATCTTAACTAAGAACATTCTAAAATTGATCTATTAATTACTGTAATCGAATAAAAATTGGTAATTATACTTACGCATTAAAGCACGTGGTTTTTGTTTTTTACGCGGCATCACCAATTACACTGTTTGCATATATCATATTCTTCCGTAATTTAATCAACAAGTACGTATTCTTTTAAACAACAAATACAAACACATACACTTTCCTCAATTGTTACAAAAACACTGAACATGAATTGAACGAATTTGGGCGAATTGGCCGAGTTTAAAATTCAAGAGATTTATGATAAAAAGATAAACAAACAAGTTGTTTGGTGGCGTTATGTTTGCCGGCTAAATCGAAATGAAACGATACGAAAAGTCGGAAAATCGTGTGGAAATTATGACGCGTGTCTTTTCGCGACGACATTCACTGTCGGAATGTGTGTATTTGTTCAGGGCGCAAACATAATAATAATATTGCGCCACTTTTACTTCGGCAAGTTTTCCTTTTGCTTGAATACGTACGTGCAGCTGAGTGTGTGATGATAAACAATTTGAACTGTAAGTTCTCGTGATGCTATCCGTCGTTCGTGTTTACGAACACATACATTCATTGCTTATTGGTGCAACATCTACAGTTACTACTTTTACTATTGCCATTGAGCACCTTATCCATCGTCAAATAGAAAAAGATACAATTGCACTCTCACTCTATGGCTATGGTCAATGCAGAAGATTCCAATTTGGAAAATATTATAAACAGCTTAAAATCGGTCTGTTTTATGCAAAAAAAAGACTTGAATTTTTTTAAACAAAAAAATGTCTTAATTCGAACTCTCGTCTGAGAATTTAAAATAAAAAACTGATTTTTATTTTATTGCATGATATTTGGTTTTATAGAGAAGACGTGTTTCAGTTTCTAAAAAAACCAATTCATTACAAAGAATAGTTTTAGCATCGAAATATATATTGACATATGCTTGTTTTTTTACGCTAGTCTCATGACATAGCGGCTTATCGAAGTTCAATGTTTACCAAGTGCAAGTGACAAAATAACGTGAGAGAAATAATTTCAAGCTAAACATTTTTTTTAAATTATTATACTGCATGCATTAAATTCAAAAACATCCATACCGAAGGTGCGTAATTTTGACGCACTATGATTTTCTGTACTGTTAATTCTAACATCAATTTCATTTATGTTTTGATAATACACTGATTAAATGATGTAATTTAGTAGTGTGTGAAGGGGGTGGTAGGGGAGGGGTTACCCTCCTGAGGTATGGACAATTCATTGAATTTGCTAGGTTTTATGAGTCAAATTCCGCCTTCTCGTAATCAATTTTGATGAATTTTTTTCGAAGTGGAAACAAAAATCTCTTATTAGGATAGAGAACATTCTATCCAGTTGCTATTGATTTATGGCGGTCGTCAATTTTGTTCCGAAATTTACACCAGATATTTTGAAAATTACCCCCCTAGAAATCTGACCTTGCACAATACTGTAATTGTACGGACCAAACATGTTGAAAAAGTGTTTAATTCATCCGTTGAATTCAAATTACCAAAAAAGGCATTTTTATAAACGAAACAATGCGGAATAAAGTAAATGTGATAATCTGTTCAAACCATTTGTCAATATTTAAAAAAAAAAACTAGTTATATATAATAATAATAACGGAAAGCTAAAATTACTTTTATAATTGGAATAATTTAAACTTGAAAAAAGTGTCGTGATGATAGTTAATAACGCATACCAATTGAAATGAGTTATATAAAAGGCAGATGCCAGAGCTCACATACCAACAGTTTTGTTACCAGTAACTTTGACGCAATGTTTTCGTCTATTTTCAAAATTTGTTTGAGTATTCTCATCTTTGCCATTTTCATAATGGCTCAAGCCAAGCCCGAGGAGCAAAATACAAAAGATAAATTGTAAGTTGAACTTTAAACACATGAAGATTTTACAAAAAAGACATTTATTTATTTTCAGAGTATTCAAGTCACATAATATTCAAAGACTACCGTTGCCACCAACAAATCCGCCAGCTCCATCCAAAACAGCGTAATATTTTCCAACACTATGGATTACTACTCCAATTTGACACGGATCACTAAAAAACTGGTTGAAATGAAAGATGTCATTTCACAATCTTGTTTCGATTTTTATTTGATAAATCAAATGTGAAAACTAAATAAACTAAACAAATATTTAGTTGCAATGATTGTTTTTATTTGTTGTTAAGATTTTTCGTTTCGTTGAAATGACTTCGACTATTAAATCCGCTTGAAAATTTAGACAGTATTTTTTTGAATCCATTCAGCGACAAGTGCGGCCATGTCATGCGATGACTTCAGTACAAATGCATGATCATGTTTATCACTTATTTGTGCTTCTAGGCCTTCAATACTTCCGATGAGGCGTTCATAGTAAGTAACTGGCGTCCAATTATCAGTTAAACTGTAGTAAAACATTAATCGATTTTTATTCTCTTTAATCAACGCATAGTCTGGTTCTTTCACTTTTTCCATTTCATCATTTGCCAGATGCACAATTTTTGACAATACACTGGGCCGTATAACTGTCAATGTGTTTGTAATCAACTCACTATCGCAATAAACTGGTCGCGTCCAATAGAAGATTGCAATAAAAAAGCGAACCAAAAATGATGGCAAAAACGTTAGAAATACCACCAAATAGTAAAAGAAGCGGAAATATTTTTGAATGGTTGCAGCATAAAACTTTCCGTTCGGAGTGTCAGCCTGTACAAAAAAAAAATGGGCAAATATTGAAAAAAATCGATTTAATATTTGTTTATATTTATACAAACCATGTATTCAAAGGCTGGAAAGAGGAAATATCCATGTTGAATTCGCTTGCCAATGTCGTCAATTTTCAATAGTTCCAATGAAATATAAGTGCCAACTGAATGTCCAATTAAGGTGATTTTCACATCAGGCGGAATATTGTTCCGTATGAATTGAACTTTATGATCAACTTGTCCATTTAAATCATACAAATGTTTATTGTTTCGCAGCCGAGGAATTAACTCTGTATTCTCAGGCTCATCGTGTCCAAGGTGACCTTTATTTTATATATTTTTGATTATTTTCATGTGTTTAAAAGTATTTCATGTTGTACGAAAAAAAAAATAGATTAAATCTCACCAATTGCCCAAATTGGCACATTTCCTTGTAGTAATTTAAATAGTGTGGTCAAAAATGTCACGTAAAAACCGCAAATGCCTGGATTACCGGGAATAAATAAAATCATTTCCTTTTTATCAAATGTTTCGCCCAACGATTTGCCCCATGTTATAACTTTTGTTGGCACTCCACAAACATCCACGAATTTTTCCATAATTTAAATTGCTCTTTGCACCCAATCGAATCAATTATTAATGTGAAAGTGTTTGTTTTGTTCGGAAATCGAATGTTGAGATAATAATGTAGACCAGCGATTAATATTAACAGGTAATTTAATAAAAGTTGCGTCGAATATTAATTATTATTTTATAGATAGATAATCACAACAAAAAGCGATTATTTTCTAACGTCATATCGACCTTCGACTTTCTATCGTATACAAACAGTTTTGACAGCCAAACAAATCGTTCACAGCTCAGATGAATCGAAACTGTCAATTTTTGCAACATAACCGCACATATTCACCACGAGGAGGGTTCCAATTGTTACATTCATTCGACCGATAAATAAACAAAATACCACTTTTCACTATTTTCACCAATTATTTTGCCATACTCAATTGAAATAAGTTAATAAAGTAAAGAAAAAAATTAATAAAAACAAAAATGGTTGGTTAACACATATCTGTATATATTTATCATAGTTGTAGTCACAACAATAATTGTTTATGTTTATATTGCATACAGCCGCCAACAAGCATATTGAAGGATATTACAAAACTAAAGCATCCAAACAGCAGAAAGACAAAAATGGTGGCAAAAAAGGCGAAAAGGTAAAGGTTACTTTTTGAACGCATTTTCTGTATTGATAATCGTATTATGGTCATTTCAGATATAATAATCGCAATAAAATCAAATTGGGACACGCAGTCAAGTCGAATCTTATGGGAGAACGGTTGGCTTGGTTTACCGATAATATGGAACAGTTTGGTGAACAGGAATGCTTAACACCAGATCAATTTGCACAACTTTTTGAAAAGTACGTTTACAATTCGGATGTTATGCATGTTTGTTTGACATAAATTGGTGTCTTACATTTATTTTGAATTGCAGATACTTGAATCGATTCAATGAAGAATTGGAGACGATCTACTTGAAGCAGTCAATATCGAAAAATCGAGTAAATCAGCACGCAAGTCGTTTGTCCATTATTAAGATGAGCATGGAACGTGAAAAGGGCGAATACGAAGGAGCTGGTCTTGGTAAGAAACTTATTCTCTGCCATATACAATCACTTTCATTTACACAGCAATTTTTCATTCTTTTTTTTACAGAATTAATGGACTTATGTGATCCGATAAAATATAAGAAGTTCATATCATGGGATGGAGATAGCATAAATTTACAACATTTTAAACTCGAACGAATCAGTAAAAAATATTTAGAAAATCACAATAAAATGGAATAGATTTTGTTCAATTTTAAAACATATTTTATTTCTATGATCAACTTGTTCCATTGAATGTTTTTTAAACTACAATTTGAACCAATTGTATTTGCAATGAATACATAAAAATAACAACAAAAAAATGAAACTATGACTTTGTCATGTGATTATTCCAGAGTATTTCATTCATGATTTCTAATGTCTGCAGATCAAAGTTTCAGTTAGCTGAATTGCTCCAGCATTGCTCTTTCCGTTGATTTTGTATAAGAATTTAAAAAAAAAAGATGTTTTACATCTAAAAGAACGCGAAACGTAATAAATGGAAGAAACGTTGTTTAGCTGAAATTTCAATCTGCAGCCATGAGTTGATATGGATGAAAACTCCTGGATCACTGGACTCTCTAGAAAATACAGTGCGTTCGTATCGAACATTTTTTTCACATCATAATCATGATGAATTTGTAGCGTTTGTGATGGGCAATCGAAGCGGTTCATTTTCTTCAATTTGTATCGTTTGTTTTTTACCATTGTAAATGTATTCAATTTGCAATAGTTTTTCTTCGCCAACACATGGGTCATAAAATCCAGGCAGATCACACTAAAATGTACACAACACCATTAGTATCAACGGATAATATTGAATATGATGATGGTTACCTTTCCTGATTCTTGTAGAGTAAGTTTACCATCTTTCACGAGACACTGCAGAGGTATTTTAACATCGATTGTCTGGTTGCCGGTTGTTATGGATGAACCTATGGACATATTTCAAAAAAAATTTACTCTTCATTTCTGAACATTACTAAACGTTTAGCTGCTGATAACTATTTACCACTCATTGGTTCTATAATCAGTTTTTGGTAAATAGCAAAATAGTACTTACTGCTATCGGAAGATGAATTGTCCGAAAATTTTCCATAAATGGCAGACACAATTAAAAGACCATTTCGTCTCTCTTCTTCGCTGCAATTTCGTTCATACTGTACTGACATCAAATCAACCGCGGCTTCTGCTTCTCGTTTCTTTTCGGCCATTCTGAACGTACATTGTTTTTAATTTAATTCACAAAATTCCGAATCATAGATAAATAGAATTAATTACCGTTTCTTGTTTGTTTCTTTGATTCGATCAATATCACGTTGTTTTTGTTCGGCATCCATTCGTTCGATGATACATTTTTTAACCACAAACCATGCGACTAGTGGTGTGACTGTCGCGTAAAATACGGCTGCAGGAATAATATCTTCGCTCAAATGAATTGGAAATACGTACGTTTGTGACGATCGAATCAATCTGTTAAACAAAATTTAAAAATTACCAAAAGAAATTTGATAAAAAAAATTAATAATAAACTTACTTCAGTTTCATTGTAACACCAGTGGGTTGACCAATTGATACACTCGCTACCACTGAACTATATTTTGAAACTTTTTTCTCAGCACCGTATTCAGCCATGTAACCAAATGTTCCAACTCTAAAATTATAGAAAATTCATCAAAATTCGATCAATTTTCGGACAATTAAATACTTACTTTCCGGCCAATCGTAGTTTTAGCTCATAGTCGATGAGCTTTTTTGTGTAACTCGCTGAAATAAATGAGTGTGGTATTCCAACGGAACAGGTCACTAGCATGTGTTGTTTTTCAGTACTGTGCTCAAGCACACATGACACCGATGACTGTATACCCGCATTGTATGTTAGAAAACCGACCGTATGCTTATCCAATTGAACAGCTAGCGCTGAATATTTGAGAAGAAAAAAATTTGAATTTTGAATTTATCTTAAAATAAGCATTGTGTTGTGCTACTCACTTCCCATGAGGCCTGGTATAATTCCATTTTTACGAAAATTCAATGTAAAATCACCGTTGCAAAAAATTTTGCTTGTAAGATTACGTGATCCTTTTAAGCCAACAACGGGACCATTTCCAGCCCCCGCCACAAGTTCGAACCATCCTTGATTCACCAAGCGACGTCCGCTTATTAGAAAACCACCTAGGAAATAAGCATAAAAAATGTGATGAAAACAAAAACCTCGATCAAGCGATAAAATTGCATTAGTTTACCTTGTGCATTGCCATTTTGTGATGATAAACTTCCTGACATTGAAACTGTATCTCTCGTCGTGATTGGTGCGTCAATTGACTGAGATATTGAAATGCCTTGAACTTCAATATTAGGAAATGATCTATCTCTGCACAAAAATTGTTATGTTGTTAATGATATTTTGGCAATCCCGTTTTTTTTTTCTCAACTTACTCAAATTCGTCATCATACGGATTGAAAATTTCCGTTGCATTAACGTTTATTGTAATATTTCCTTTTGGATTAGTTCTTTGTTGTAGTTTTCGTTCGGCTCTTTCACGGGCCAAACGTTCAAACTCTTCACGTATTTCTGACGGCGTTTTTGTTCGATGCACGATCTCCCAACCTTCCGTTTGTAATCCTTTAACTCCAAGCGAATCATAAATGGCACGTTTATGCGGATCCGATAACACCTGTGTGTGGACCGATTCGGTTAATTAATACGAATGCACTTAACACAGTTTAACGTTCACTAACCTCGTATGCTTTTTTAATGCGATTGAAGAGAATTTCGGCATTTTTCTTTTTCTCAGCATCGACATGCTTGTCTGGGTGATAAATACGACTTAAATTTCGATAAGCTGTATTTATTTCATCAATCGAAGCCTAAAACCAATGAAAAACACATCAAGTTATTAACGATTTTGTTATTTTCCAACAATATTCTATATGCGGTGTCAACTGATTTCATAATTTGTCATTGATATTGCTCATTTTGAATTTATTTGTGAAACTTGCCGATTTTGATATATTGAGGTATGCATAATAATTTTCCTCTGCGTCAAATCCATCCTCCGGAACATCGTCCATTGTCAATATTCTTTAAAAGATATTTGCTTAGATATTTAAATTATTTTTTTTTAATCGCAGTTGATCACACATCCAATTCTAGTGATAATAATGAAAGATGTCACATTTTACATTACTTTTCCGAACATACCGACTACTTGGGTCTCAGCGCCAACTTCACACCACATCAAACGTCAACACTTTGGCGGTTTTCAATTTTTGAAATTTCTCCTTTCGGCATTTGCACAGTATGAGAGAGAGAGGGGGGAGAGAATTGAATGGGAAATAAAAATCAAAAGAAGATTTTCTTGAAATGTTAACTGTACATTTATTTTTCCTTAGATATTTCATTTATATGAAAGTATTCTAGTTATGCAAATAATCACAGTACAAATTGTGGAATCATTCATGCAATTGAACTACTGTGAATTCATTTCCGATAAATCTATGTATATTTGTACTATCGTTTGCCATAATATTTGATTAATGTTCATTATTAATATTGTTGTTGTAAACAATTTTTTTGATTTGTTCAAATGAAATCCAGAGACAAATATTCCATGAGACTAGACGAGCGAAGGCTGGAACAAATCTATATGGAAAAAAATGTATTTAATGTGAATTAAAACCAGTGAAAAAAGTCACGTTTTCAAGATGTTACCCTTTATAAAATGCTGTGAGCCCTTCTTGTTTGGCCATTCTTAGAGCACAGTCAATGGCTCCGTTATAGTGACCTTGTGACGAATTCATGTACCTTGTTTTCACAACGTCAATGGGTGAGGCTGCTACCGTTGCTGCAAAACCTGACAATTTGTTTTCCAATAAAGCAAAATACAAAAAAATCAAGATTTTCAATTGTTTCTTTCTATTTTTTTGTTTTGTTGTGTACCTGCTATCACGGCAGCTGTGAAATGACAAAAAATATTATCGCGCATGTCACCATATACAATTAGACATTCCTTTACAATGTCATAGCAAACAATTTCTGACACATTAACGACTGCATTTCTACCGATGTTCGGCATGGCACCCTTCCATAGACCCTTTACACCTTCTTCGCGGCCAATTTTTCGATACGTTGCCGGCGTTGATGTATATAGTAATTTTGTTCCCGGAAGGCGTTTTTGTGCTTGAAATTTAATTTTGACCACTTCGGTGGGTTGACCCAAACAGACGGCAAGTCCACCGGTAGTAAGACCGGCCAAAACTCGTGTCATTACATGCAATCCATCTGGATTTTCATTGAATAATTTTTGATAGGTCGTTTTCACGGTATCATACATGCCCAAACGCACGCTCGCGAATACCATTTGACGCTGTAGACCGGCCGACAAGCCATTGTATAGAGAGCGTAGACCTTCTTGTTTGGCAATTGTACCAATTGTACCGAACAGGCCGCGATATTGAACTTTGTCGATTTTTACAGGTATTTCATGTGTGGGTATTGGCAGCGAAATCGAAATGAATCGTCGACCTGGTGTACGGAATGCATTTGATGAAGCCGTTGTCAACGGTCGTTTTGATTGTATTTTCAATAGATTTTTCTCATTATTTGTACCAGTTATTCGATTAGATGTTGATTCACCCTGTAGCTGCAATCTTACCTTGAACGTTAAGCAAACCGTTAGTAATAAAATTAACTATTATGAACAACCGTTACAAAAAATTTGATTTACAAATAATTTGAGCATACTTTGGCCGTATCAAAAGGAAAAGTAGCTGCGTCAGCAATTGAAGCTGCAGTACCCGCTATCAATAATTGTTTAACCACATTGTTATTTTTATTTTCCATTTTTTTGATATTTTCGAAAGAAAAAATCGCTTAATTTTCTCGTTTTCAAGTTGTGTTTTTGTTTCTGTAACAAGAAAACACCGTAATACCTTGAATCAAATGTACTTCAACCTGAACTTTCAACATATAAATGCAATGAAAACGGAAATTAACATTATAAAACAGAACGGATAGATTTTATTTACATTAGATTCGTATATTTAAACATTATTGTACAGTTCCGCACTTTAATTGATTTTCATTTTCATACTTATTGCATTTGCTAAAAACAAACCATTGTGAATCATTTGTTTTAAATATCGCCTAAAAAATTAAATCAATAAATCTGTAAAACAACATTTACTCACATTTTTTCCACAAAACAGTGCAAAAAAAAAGAAAAACTACTTCGAGAGCTTCGCCTCTATTTGCGTCGAAAATTTATTTACTCAAAAGAAAATTTTGGTACGCACACATGTAATGTAAATGTAGATACAAACCAACTGAATTTAACGATTCAATGTTTTGTAGTGTATTATTATGATGCGATTTAAATATTAACGATATAAGAATCAGTGTAACGCCGACTCGTTTGTTGAATGTGTTTTTTTGTACTGAATTGTGATCAGATACTAGATACGCATACTTCATTTTATTTTCATTATTAACGCATATTCACAACACTTTCAACACCTTCAAACGTGAATGAATACGTTGATGGGAGTGCAAAGTCCACACGCTTTTTCTTTAATGAATGCATTGGATGTCTCATATATATATACAACGTCGGTTGTGAATGAATCGACTCGGTAAACAGAAAACAAATACGAAAAAAAAAATCATCAACAATCATGCGGGAAGAGAAAAATCGAATAATTTTTTTCTCTAATCTCATTGTAATTTGCGATTTTTGTCATTTGAAACTATTTACGATCGTGCAATGAAAATATTATCATTTTAACTAATACATCAAGTTTAATATTTCAGTGAACTTTTCACTTTTTGTTTAGTTTTTACCTTGTCGACACTGACCACCACAATAGCAAACAAGATTGGCTTTGCACCTAGCTATAGGTAAATTCAGTTTTCCATTTAAAACAGTCGCTGATTGTTTCGGTTTCAATAGGATTTACAATCGCAATGAAAGTTCAAGTTTGGACTTTGGATCTTTTATTTGCGTCGCTACGTCTATATTGTCTATAATATATGTTGCATATACGTTTGAAGCGAAGTACATTCAAAGCGGGAAATAGACATTTTTTTCCTGGACAGAACAAAGTTGATTGCTCTAAATAAGCGAGCATTGTTCGTACTCAAACAATCACTTCATGATAAAATTAAATCAATGTATTGGATATTTCATTGAACATATCATTTCTTTGACAAATATGAAATATTGAAAAAAAAAAATGAATTTTCATGGTTTTCGTGGAGAAAAAACAGGTTTTTGATACTGATTTGACCCATTGTTTGATTCAAGTTTGATTCATTCAACTCGGGGTGCAATTGCACTGAAATAAATTGATTTTGATTTGAAATATAATATTATTACAATGTTTATTTACGTATAATACAAATGGTAATAGTGTTGGCAAGTTTGTTTTTTCATAATTCCAATATAGATGCTAATATTTTGTTTGAAATAGCGATCGATGCAGTTTTTGCGACAGCAAAAAATATTATCATATTCAAATAGCGCAAATTGATTTGATTGAACTATGCCAGATTTATTATTATGACTTACTTCATATTACTATTAAATGTTTCTGACAAAGAATTTTACTAACATTTATGGCTGTTCAAAATATTTGTATATTTTGCAAACATTTGCATACAATGAATGATCAGTGATTATTTGCAAGAGTAATATTTAATTTTTTAAATATTCGTACTAGAATATATTTGAAGTACTAAACTATATTTTCATAATCTGACATTTTCACACATTTTCATTTTACCGGTGTCATGTTTACAATTCTTATTTTATTTGTTTGTTTGTGTCTAACAAACTAACGAGGCGAATTTTAGAATTTATCGAACATTTTTAGTTGAAGGTTTAATGAAAGTGGCAAAAAATGTCGAAATACGAGATTGGAGGCGTGGAAATTAAATTTCCATTTCAACCGTATGATATTCAGATGACGTACATGAAATATATAATTGAAAGTTTGAATACCAAACAAAATGCTGCTTTGGAATCACCAACAGGTGGGTGTATATTTGTTGCATTACTATTTTTTGGACAATCGTACATGACTTCAATGTTTGATTTAAAAAAAAAAAATTGATTTACGAACGATCTTGAGTTTGCACAACATTTTGGATTTTAATTGCTATTTAACATTTAAAATTTCAGGCACTGGAAAAACACTCAGCTTATTATGTTCGACCATGGCATGGATTGAAGGAGAAAAGAAAAATAACAGAACGATACCAACTGTGATTTATGCAACCAGAACGCATCCGCAAATCTTGCAAGGTATAAACATTTCTTATTCTTTTCATTGGAATCGAATGTGAAAAATCTCTTTTTTTTCAGCTATGAGGGAGCTGAAAAAGAGTCCGTACAATAACGTAAAGGCGGCAGTGATAGCCTCGCGAAATCAGCTCTGCATCAATTCAGGTCTCTCGAAAAATTCCTATACTGAAAAGATACATATGTGTAAATATCTAGTAAAAAAAGGAAAATGTAAATTTTACACAAACATCGATAAGATTTCTCACGAGCCAGAGTTGCATCAAAATATTGTTGATATTGAAGATCTACACCAAATTGCAAAGAAGCATGCAGCTTGCCCATATTATATTTCGAGAAAAAGAGCGCGCATAGATGATGCGGACATAATTTTTATGCCATATAATTACCTGATTGATCCAAAAATCCGCGAAGCGAATGAAATTGATTTGAAAAATGCAATCGTTATACTCGATGAGGCGCACAATGTGACCAAAGTATGCGAGGACAGTGCTTCAACTTGCATCGAATTCACCCAAATTAGTGCGGCTCTTAGAGATATAAATTATGTAATTTTTTTTCTCTCTTTTATACGATCGGAAATATAAAAATAATATTCTTTTTAGCTCATCGAAAACAGTCACTCTTGGCGTTACTCAAAAGTAGAAAAGTTGAAAGATTCTCTTCAGAAATTGAAGGAAAACCTCAGCGAAATGTCAGTCGGTACATATAAAGGTTGCACAATTTTTTCAATACTCAAGGACGTCAACGTAAGATAGATATTTCTCAATATTTCTTCGGTTTGTTTAATACGTTCATTTATATTTTAGATAACAAAAGACAATTGTGCTGATGTGATAGAAGTACTGGAGAAACAAATAGAATTGATATATAAGCAAGGGCTAGAAAACGACTTGGACTCTTGTGGCGATGATGGTTCATGTGATCAAAATAAAAAGAAGGCGACAACTTCGAGAGGATCTGGCCTTACTGCATTCTTTCACTTCTTACAAACAGTTTTCGCATGCTTTACGGAGCCAAAGAGTAGCATCGATGAGTGTTATCGAGTCCACGTCGATCATAAAAAAATTGAAAACGGAAACAAATCATTGTCTTCAGAGGAACAACTAAAATTAAAAGTATTAAATTTTTGGTGCTTCAGTGCGAAATTCAGGTGTGTAATTCGTTGATTTCCTCATTCATTTCACTGTTTAATGAACATTTCAAATATTAAGGATGAAAAATTTGATGCAACAAAATATTCGATGTCTAATATTAACCAGTTCAACTTTGGCGCCATTTAAAGAACAGTTAGCGGAAATAAACATTCGCGTACCAATTCTATGGGCGGCAAAAAATCATGTGATCAAAGAAGATCAAATATGTGCCAATGTTTTGAGCTCTGGAGTTGATCGGCAATCTATCGATGCCAGCTTTGACAATCGGTAAAAAACAATTTTTTGTTTTGGTTGATCATTCGTTTTTGTTACTTATATAACTCGTTTGTAGAAAAACCGATAATTACCGGTTATCACTTGGAAATTCAATAGTTGAGCTGTGTAAAGTGGTTCCGGATGGTATTTTAGTCTTTTTCCCATCGTATGAAATGATGATGAATTTACTTGACTTCTGGCAAGAGCATGATATCACGACGAAAATTGAAGAGCAAAAACGTGTTTGTGTTGAGCCAAAAACAAAGGAAGAATTTCATATTGAGATGAAAAAGTACTACGAACATATTAACGAGAAAAAAGGTGCTGTTTTCATGGGTGTGCTAAGAGGAAAAATCAGTGAAGGAATCGATTTTTCGGATAAGTATGGCCGTGCCGTTGTTGTTGTAGGCATACCGTACGCACCTTCAAAACATCCAAAAGTTATGCTCAAAAAACAATATATGAACCAAATATATCGAGAATATGAAAAAGGTATAAATGCTCTTTCGCTTTTCCATTCATTTCATTCCATGTGATATATACTCTAGGTATTTGCGGTGATGATTGGTATAAACTGGATGCGGTCAGAGCCACTAATCAAGCGATCGGCCGTGTTATTCGTCATGCAAATGATTACGGTGCAATTCTACTATTCGATGTACGTTTCAATCAAATTAAGATAAAAAATAATATTTCCGAATGGATCGAACGTCCCTTGGAAAAACAAGAATCTTATTCATTCGATGAAGTAATTAAAAAAGTTGTAACATTCTTTGAAAATGCTCGGCAGGTATTTTAATTGTTTTAAATTTTGAAGAATATGCACGATTTAAGAATTACCTTGCTTTACAGAAACTACCTGAAATTGAACCAAAATTGAATCCAGAAAGTTTCGTTCTTTACGATGACCATGAATATGACGACATATTTCAATCAACATGCTATCAAGCATCAGATGATATATTCCATGAAGAATTCGATCAATCGTTTACTGTAAATATTTCACTTCCAATTTGAATCACAGTGATTTATTTCTTTCAAATAAACAAATTACAGAATTTGACATATGTCCAAAAAAGATCATCAAATGTTGCGAAGCGGTGCTCAAAAACTGCTCGAAATTTAACATCGACGTCTTCTTCGGTAAGGATATATTGATTTTGTCGACCACTTAAAATGAAATTACCACAAATCATATATCTGTCTTACAGAGCCAAGCCAGTGAATCTGACAGCAGTAGCGATGAAATGGTGAAAACGCCAAAAAAACTCAGAAAAAGAATTCGTATTTTAAGCGATTCGGATATCAGTGAAGAGACGGATGATCCGAATAAATCAGAAGAACATTCGATTTTTACTTTCGTGAGTAACAATGTTTTCCTATGCTCATAACTGATCACACCATATGCCACAATGGTGTCATTGGTGAAACAGAGCCTTTAACATTCAAATCAAACACAGCTGTTGCTACGTTTTTGTTTTATCGGTGTCATGAGTAGTATCTATCGTTTGAGCAATCAACTATTTTCAATTTTATTTCAGATGAAAGAAGATTTGGGCGAAGAAAAATTTCAAAAACTGTCCACCATTTTCGTAAATTATTATCAAGGTGACGATCCTCACGTATGTTTTCGAGAACTTTTCAATATACTTGACTCGGAACAACTTCAAACAATTACGGTATTCCTCCGAAAAGACGATGAAATACAATATAAACAAGAATTGGCAAAATTTCTGGAGCAAACTATGGATAACAGAGAGTAAAAAAAAAAACAAACAAATTTTTATATCGTTTTTCACTCAAAAACATTCATGAATAAATATGTAAGCAAATTTTAGAAGTCTCATTTTAAATAGCATTTTTTGCGCTCCTTTTGTGACCAATAAACAAATATTTAATGACTTGTTCATAAGTGGCTTAAATATCATACAGAATTGGTAACACTTGACACCATTGTTGTATCATAAATACACCTTATCAAAATAAAGCCATTCGAAAATTACACATTCAACTCCGGAAATGTGTTTTATTTACTCTTTAGCTTATTAATTCGTATGTTATATAAAAATGCGGATTTTTATATTATAAAATGTTTGTGCTTGCAATATAATACCAGTTTATAAAAAACATCGAAACAAGCAATTTTCTGTTAAGGCAAGTGTCAATTGATGTTCACTTGTTTTTCCCACGGGTGAAGAAGATATTACAACATATTATGAAATACTGCGATCGTGACATTGACAGTGAGCGTATAAAGCATGCGTCTATGCCGTAGACAGCTTCATTGTTTTTAATCATCTTCATGTTTTTTGTTTACAAACACTTTTAGTTTTCATAGAATAATGTGCAAAGAATTTTTTTTTACATCAATTAGATTAGTGAAGAATGAAAAAGAAAATTATATTTACATAGCTTAATTTAAATTAGTTTTATTAGATAAAGTAAAAGATTTTTTGAAAAATAGATAAAATCAATTTAAAAAAATGGTGATAGTAGACATAAATGGTATTGCGGTAAAATTTCCGTTTGAACCTTATGGTGTTCAGCGTAAATACATGAGTAATGTGATTCAAAGTTTGGAGGAAAAAAGGCATGCGATTTTAGAATCACCGACGGGTATGTCAACTCTAAAGGTTCAACCAACGATCATATTATCATATCCTTTAAATTTCAGGTACCGGAAAGACGCTCTGTTTGTTATGTAGCACATTGGGTTGGATTTCTCATCAAAAAGAAAAACTTGAGAAATGGAGGTCATATAATGTAGAAAATAGCGTCCAAGAAGAAAGAAACAAAGAAAATCAAAAGAAAAACGTATCGGATGCGGCATGTGAATCTGAACAGCCGATTGATGGTACAAATCGTTCCGATGAAGGCATGCCACTGGAAAAAATACCGAAAGTCATTTACGCATCCAGAACTCACTCACAAATATCGCAAGGTAATTTTGAATCAATTAATTCATTGATCGTGCTTATTCAATGAAATAATAACAATATGTATTATTTTTTGTAATTTCAGCAATGAAAGAACTTAAGAAATGCGACTACGCTGATGTAAAAACGGCCGTTATTGCATCCCGTGATTATCTTTGCAATAATCCATCATTGAAGGACAAATCGAATGCGGAAAAAACACATAAATGCCGCAGTCTGAAAAAACACGATCAATGCGAATACTATGTCAATCTCAAACATTGTGAAAATGAGCCGGAATTCGAAAAACCCATTCTTGATATTGAAGACCTTGGTCGGATTGGAGAAAAATTCAATTGCTGCTCGTATTATGCATCGAGAAAACGGATTCAAACAGCCGAAATTGTATTTATGCCATACAATTATCTGCTAGATCCGAAAATTCGAAATGCTACACAAATCGATTTGAGTGACTCGATCGTTATTTTGGATGAAGCACACAACGTGGAAAAAATGTGTGAAGACAGTGCTTGTACATTGATTAAATCATCAGATATTTGTACGGCAATCAGTGATTTGAAGCAGGTAAGATTTATAACGATTTTAACGTTAAAAATTGATTTTAAAATGAATTGTTGATTTGTTTTTAGATGATTAGGCTTTCAGGTCTGCCAGAAGCACTCGAAAGGGAAAAATTTACATTGAATGATATTCAAAAACTGCAATGGTCTCTAGAAACTTGGGAAACAGACATTAGTAATGTTCAAATTGGAATGCAAGATGGTGGTTTTGTATTTTCATTGTTGGAAAAGGCTGAGGTAAGAATCAAAGTTCAAATCATTTTCAGATTTAAATTAAACGAACACCAACATTTCAGATAACAATTAAAAACTGTCATTTGCACATGAATTTTATCGACAAGCTAATTGGAGTATTGAACGACGAAGGACGATCATTGTTTGAAGGACGTCGTGGTAAAGGTTTAGAAAAAGTGTTGGAATTTTTACGAGTTGCCTTTTCAAGCTCTGCCGACGATCTCATAGACAAAGTTAAACAAAGTTACATTGTACAAATCGATGAAGATGAAAAATGCGAGACTGTTGGTTCGAAAATATTGAACTTTTGGTGTTTTAGTCCAGCATTCGGGTTGGTATTTTTCATTCACCTAATTTGTGTGTGTACGTGTGTTTAATTATCTTTTTATATACACTTTCCAGAATGAAATATTTGTTTGAGCAGGGAATTCGTTGCCTTATTTTGACAAGCGGAACATTGGCTCCATTAGAGCCTCTAGTAGATGAAATGGATATTAAAGATCCGCTTTTGTTAACAAATGAACATATTATCAAAGACTCACAAGTATTTGTACGAATTATTGATTCTGGTTTAGACGAGAACACTTCATTCAATTCCATTTATCGTAATCGGTAAGAATAAGCTAAAAACTGGGTCCTTCAGATCATGGCTGGAACAATTAAATTTTAGTGTATCCTCACTTTTGATCAATTTCCAGGCGCAATCCAAAATATCTCAGGTCTCTTGGTAATTCAATCATAAAAATTTCAAAGGAGGTTCCAGGCGGATTACTTATCTTTTTTGCGTCGTATCCTGCAATGGATAATTGTGTGAACTTTTGGAAACTAAATGATAACATTTGGTCGAAAATGGAAGCACAAAAGCCAATTTGTGTGGAATGTAAAGATAAAATGGAGTTTGAACGGCAAAAGCAAATATATAACGTCAATATTGAGAATAATAATGGTGCAATTTTTATGGCTGTCCTCAGGGGAAAAGTGAGCGAGGGTGTGGATTTTGCTGATACCTATGGTCGATGCTGCCTTATAGTTGGCATACCTTTCAGTTTTAAAGATCCAAAGCTTTCTCTCAAGTTGCAGTATTTAGAAGGAAAAGAAAGAGGTTCAAGTTCCAAATGGGAAGTTTTAGAAGCAATTCGAGCCGTCAATCAAGCTATCGGAAGAGTTATTCGGCACAAAGATGACTATGGTGCCATTTTATTCTGTGATGAACGTTTTTACGATTATCATTTAAACAAAGATATATCTTTTTGGGTTAAAAGCCTTTTACCACAAACACGAGAAACACCGTTTGGATTTCGAAACATGCTCAATGAAATGCAAGTTTTCTTTGCGGAATGCGATAGAACGGTATTTGTTATTTTTATTCGCCTTTTTTATATTTTATCATTGTGATTTTTCTTATCACAAAACATTTCTGATGTTTTTAGTTACCAAAGTCGAAGCCAAAGCCTCGTTTGGAAAATGTCAATGATGATGTAACAACTGATCAACAGACTTTCAAGACATACATCGATAGATTTACGTTTGCACAAAACGTTCCAGAATATGACGACGAAGTTTCGGATGATTTTATCAATGACGATTCTATAGATGATCAATATTCAGAATCTTCTGAGGTTAAATTGTTCATTTGCTTCATCTTTGAATTGTTTTAAACTGTGAAAAATATTTTAAATTACAGGATTTGCGACCAAAAAAACGGAAAAAACAAAAGAAAACTAAGAGTTTCTCTCACACATCGCCGAAACCATCGACGGTTAGTAAACCGTTCTTACAATTATATAGCTTTATTGACTATTTCAAACTATTTCAGAGTCGAATCATTAGACCAAGTAGTGGCAGTAGCAGTGAAGATGATGAAATACAGATTAAACCAAAACGACTCAAAAATGCAACATTTAGCAAAAAAACCATTTCATCTGATTCGGATAGCAGCTCAAAAGAAGATCCGAAAAAAGAAGTATTCGAGAGCCATTTTAATTCACATGTGAGTCTTCAGCATTATTATTGATATTTGCTCGCATTCATTTTGACACTTGCTTATTTTTATTTCAGTTGCAAGAAAAATGGGGTCCAGATAAATATGAGGAATTCGAAAAACGATTTGCTAAATATAAAACTGATAAAGATTTTGAATCTTTTGGCGAGGCTTTATTTGAGATATTCAACGATGATCGAGAGCATCTCAGGGGAATGATATGGTTTTTGATACCTAATCATCGAAACAAATTTAAAGCTGCACTTGAGAAAATCATTTAAAATTCAGTGGAAGAACAATGTAACGATCAAATGAAAATAGATTTTTTTTATTTTTGCATCGAAATTCTCGACTTTATTTACTAATATTCGTTGTGCACGAAATTATCGTGGCGTCCAGAGTTGGCAAATACACTTCACAAGAGGTCGCACTTTCAATTTAGTTGCGTGCACTCGACTCCATATTATGGAGTCCATATAAATGTTGATGGTTTATAACAGACATTATATTAAGATATTTTCAGCCAGATGAATCAGGCTGATGTTGAACTTTCATACATTATAACAATCACTTTTATTGTTTTCACTCCATTTCAGTGCCTGACGATATCTGTCTGAGCTGATTCATCTGGCTGAAAATATCTCAATATAATGTCTGGTGTATAAGCATACATTTTTAAAGTGCGACTCTCAAAATTTATATGAAATCGGGTGCATGCAACAAAATTGAAAGTGCGCGCACTTTCCAATTGAACTGTTGAAGCGGAAAAAAAGCTTTTATTTTTCTCCAAACAATACTGCAACTTAAAAGTTTTTTTGAATAGTTTATTTGTTTTATTTTGAAGTACAACAAATAAACTATGTGAATGTGAAAAAAAAAACTTCATGTTGCAGTATTATCTAGAGAAAAATAAGAGCTATTTTTATCACCGAAACGATTCAACTCTGATTACATCATTCGTTGCTTCTATGCATTTCTCTGGATCGACACTCTTTATACACATATTGTCACAAATTTTCTACATCTAAAACTATTTTATAAACAAAATTACTGAAATAGCCGTTGAAGTTCAATATTATTTCGTCGTTTTCTTAGCCGTTGAAATTTAACCTCTTTTTCTATCCAATGGGTTGGTGCGTCGAAGATGGGCGTGCTCAGTTTTGACTGGTTCGAATTTTGGATAACGCCAAACTCTGTCAGTGAATTCCAAAAAATTTCCGGGAACTGAAACGTCCATGTTGCAATAAATTTCATCACCTGAAAAAAATTAAAATAAACAAACAAACATTAATACATTTAACAATGAACATTTCTTCTGCATTCTCTATCTGTCAACTGAAAATATTTTGTATAAAATGTGTACCTTTTTGAAATTTTGCTGGTTGTCCACCTGGATGTTTGTTTGGTCGATGACCGAGCATTATATCTTCAGTTGGAATAAGATTGTCTTCTTTGGAATAAACCTGGATCGATTCAACCCTGTCATCCTCGTCCCCATCTCCACCGCCTGATATGTCGAATATTTGGCATTCGACCCAAACATTTGCTGGATGCGTGGTACCGAGACCGAATTCAAGTGGTGGTTTGGCTGCGTTGCCCATAGCGATAGCTGGAAAATAATTTTTTTAACATTTATTTTTTGAAATACATACACCTGAAATAAGTTACCTATGGACATGGCACTTATCAAAAAGATAATTGTGAATTTCATTGTGATCTGAGTCGGTTAACAACTGTTCACGTTCTGATAATGTTCAAATCTCGACATGTCTTTTATAGAAGAACAGTATCCATTTCGAAGTATACGTCATTTGTTATTGAACGTGCACATGTACGGACATTTTATCATTCGTCATTGTTTGCAAAAATAAAATTTCGGACGTTCGTTCAAATTTCAGAAATAGATTCAATAATAACAAATGATATTGAATGTGTGCGAATGTGTGATAATTTTCTGGAAACGAAATGAAGAACGTGTCGAACGTTTTAATGTTAGAAATTTGTTTCAATTTTTGATTGGTGCTCTCACGTTCCACAAAGAACTATTTTTTCGTTTTTAGTTAATCTTTGTATATTTCACATTTTCTCTATTGGCGAGAACGGTTTTAACTTTATTGCTTGCAATCTTTTATGTTTCGGCTATATGTCAACAATGTGCCATTATTTATAAATAAAGGTGATTTTTTGTCCGTTGCATCTTTTTGATAGTATTTTGCTTTTTGTTATGTAGAATCGAGTGTCGCCATTCCATGTTCTGCGAACGTGATGTAACGTATTTTCAATTGGCGACTGTAAATATAGACTTTTTTCAGTACATTTCTTCCAAATAATTTGATTTAAATTTTTCATCATTTACATAATGATAATAATCTTTTGAATTCAATTAAACTATGTACCAAATCAAAGTAATACTTTCTAAAGTATCGACGTAAGCGAAGCTTTCAAATTGATTAGAAAATGATTCCGAAAATGACATTAAGAAAAAGCATACAATATGAAAAACATTTCAACATCAAGACCATTGGCATTATCAAAGTTCATTTCTATAATTATGCTTCTGATACAAGAAATTACAAAAAAAGGGCACAGAAATAGGAAAAATAAAGAAAGTTTTAATTTCGAAAACCGCCAAATATACATTCAAAGTAACACATACTACGGAGATCATATGTTTTGGATTGACATATGAATTGAAGTTTGTAAACAAATACGTTTTTTGTTGTTAACGTTCGTTGAAATGACATTTTTTTTTAAATGCGATTTTCTTTTGTTATTTCTTTCAGAAGCCGAATACGAATGGAATGCAAATAGATAAAAAATAAATTAAATTTTACTATGTGATGTGATCATAATAATTTAACCACTTTATCTACAATCAGGGTTGATCTATTATTTAAGCGCATGTAAGTACATCAACCAAAAAAATGAATTCCATTATATATGTATTGTAATCATTTACATTAATGATGTGAGTAAAGTGCATTTTTAATTTAAAAAATTGGTTATATCCTTTAAATTAATATTTAAGAAGCATACAAACAGGCATCGGCAAATGCCGACATTTATGAACAGAGAGTGAGAAATGAAAAAAATAGCAACATGGATTGCTTTTGTCGATTACATCTTTTGAATACCGTGCTGTTCACTCATATTATCACCTTACAGTATTTTACCAACACAAGTGTATACCGACAGTTAGACCAGTTTTTTTTATACGTGCTACATTACCGACATAATTCTTACCTCTTATTTATAATGTCAAACCGACTCGGTCATTAGCACGAGCTGTCAGTTTGTGTTGATGTAGCTTTCATTTATAATTATTGTGTGGAATAATGCGAATGCATTTTTCCATTTTTCCTAATTGCTGGTAAAGTATTTATTTAAATAAATTCGCCTTAGTTCATGAGTTAATTATTCAAAGTTGGATGCGACAAAAGTGAAAACCTCGTATTCTGAATTTAGTTTCAATTTTGTAGTTGGTGTTTGCGGTTGTGTACATCAGTAGCTTAATACATTATTATTATCGAATACCAAATGAATTTAATGTTTATTTTTGCGGTGTTTTTCATTTAGAAAATTTTATAATTGTCGAAACAATTTTGGAAGTGAGAACGTGAAAAAGTTTTTAGAACTAATGAAAATGACGCCAATTATGATGGACTATGATTTTAAAATGCGAACTCAGGCAGAACGCACAAAGGTGGAGGATTTGTTTGAGTTCGAAGGATGTAAAGTTGGTCGCGGTACATATGGACATGTATACAAAGCACATCTCAGAGAAGAAAATGATAAAAAGGACTATGCGTTGAAACAGATTGAAGGGACTGGACTCTCTATGTCAGCGTGTCGTGAAATTGCGGTAAGTGTATACATTCAATGTCGGCGTGCTTATAAACAGAGTATTTTACTAAAAAAAAGTTTTGTGTTTTTGTTTTAACAGTTGCTACGTGAACTGAAGCATCCGAATGTGATCAATTTGATTCGTGTATTTTTGTCACACACCGATCGAAAAGTATGGCTGTTATTTGACTATGCCGAACATGATTTATGGCACATAATAAAATTTCATCGAGCAGCGAAGGCGAACAAAAAACCGGTTATCGTTCCAAGAGCTATGGTTAAGAGTTTATTATTTCAAATTCTCGACGGGATTCACTATCTTCACAGCAATTGGGTACTTCACAGAGATTTGGTAAGTCACATACAATTTTATGTCGTTAAGTAATTAGTTGATGTCGTATATTTTTTTTCTTTGACATAGAAACCGGCCAATATTCTTGTGATGGGAGAAGGTGCCGAAAGAGGACGTGTTAAGATTGCCGATATGGGATTTGCACGTTTGTTTAATGCACCACTGAAGCCATTGGCCGATTTGGATCCAGTTGTAGTAACCTTTTGGTATCGTGCACCGGAACTTTTGTTGGGCGCACGTCATTACACCAAAGCAATTGACATATGGGCAATTGGATGTATTTTTGCTGAGCTTCTAACATCCGAGCCGATTTTCCATTGTCGTCAAGAGGACATCAAAACAAGTAATCCATACCATCATGATCAACTAGACCGGATATTCAATGTAATGGGATTTCCACAAGACAAAGACTGGGAAGATATTCGTAAAATGCCCGAACATCATACTCTTACAAAAGACTTCAAGCGTAACAAGTAAATATCCTATATTCACATTATCGGTTCGATAGAAATTAAATTTTTCGTTTTGTTTTTTTTTTTTCTTTAAAAGTTATGCACAATGCTCACTGGTGAAATACATGGAGCGACACAAAATTAAGCCGGATAGCAAATCATTCCATTTGTTGCAAAGACTGCTGTTAATGGATCCAAATAAGCGTATCACCTCAGAACAGGCCATGCAAGATCCATATTTCCATGAAGATCCACTGCCGACCAGTGACGTTTTTGTTGGATGTGCGATACCATATCCAAAACGAGAGTTCTTAACCGAAGACGACCAAGAAGATAATAAGTCGGATAAAAGGCAAAACCAACAAAATCATCAAACACACCAGCAACAGCATAACCAATCGACTGTTCAACAACAGACCAATGTACAACAACCACAACAAACAACGGTAATACTATTTAAAGCAATATCTCACATTTTTTATTTAGATTAAAACGTTATTGTCACTAATAATTTTTTGATAATCCAGCAACAACAGCAACAACAACACATGATTCAACAGCAAATACAACAACAAATGCAACAACAGCAACAACAACAACAGCAACAGCAGCAACAGCAACACCAACAACATCAACAACACCAAACGCATGGTTCACATCAACCAAATCAACTCGTCCAACATCAAATGGTATGTATTTATTAACACCATTGTTGATGCATATATAAAGATTTTATTTTACTAAATGTATCAATTTTATATTTCACAGCAGCATGTTCCTCACCATCATCCACAACAAATGATGAACACACATCATGACAATCCGGCTAAGAGAATGCGAATACAGCATCAACAACATACACAACAAGTAAATTTAATTATAAATCATCAAAATCGAGACTATTTTTCCTAACCAATATTTTTTTTCTTTCAATGTTTTTAGCCTCATCCTCAAATGTACAGCAATCAGCAACAACAATCTCAATCGAATTTCCAACAAAGATTTTAAACTAAAATGATAGTACGTTTAAGTTTTTTTTTATTAAATTAACAACAAAATCAATCACAGCTGTCCGCTGTACTGTTCAGTATGTATCGCAGATTTAAATTGTCAAATTAATAAATGAATATGAATAAAAAAAATCACCTCTTTTGTATTTTGATACATTTCGCAAAATATTCTTTAAACGAAAATGCTGAACGTCACCAAAAATAATCCAATGTTTGAATGATAATTCAACTTTTAAATACCAACGTACGGAATAATTAATTTAACGCCATTCCAACAGATGTCGCAATACGTAGGTAGCTCCTTAATTATAGAGAATTGGCAACATTTGGTGTTGCCGGATGCAAACCATTGTCATATTCGTAAAGTTTGATATTTTTTAGCATTAACGTCCTCAGATGGTTTTGTCATACGATCGCTATTATTGTATTTCATCATATTGATTTATCTATTTTTGGTTGCGTGTAAAAGTAGTACATTCTCGTCTTTGTAATTAGATAAAGTAAGCAATTTTATTATTTTCAAATAATCTAATTATCGAAAACAGTAGAAAAATGTCACTGTCTAACAAAAATGAATTTTAAAAGTTTTGAAAAATTATTCCAACAGTTATATTATTTTTAAAAACATATTTTTTACGTTTTCATTTTTATTTGTATGCATTTTTAAAACTCACTTTAAAGACATGGAAAAATTGAAGGAATACAATAATCCGGAAACTTATAAAACGGTTGCCATTGTTGGTGGATGCGCGATTGTTGGCTGTGCTATTGGAACAATGATACTTCCAGCAATTGGATTCACGGGAAACGGTGTTGCGCCGTTATCGTATGCGGCCACTTGGCAATCCGGAATTGGAAATGTGGCAGCGGGTAGTCTCTTTTCCATAGGTCAATCCATGGGCGCAACTGGTGCAGGCACTGTATTGTTCGGTGGTACAGGCGCATTGATTGGTGCTGCAATAGCACCCTATGCAAAAACCATTGGAACTCAAGTATATAACACTGCCAAACCCTATAGAACTACGATCGCAAATAAAGCAATTGACGCTGGCAAATATGTGGTCAATAGTAAAAACTCTGTAATTGCTGCAGCCACACCTTATGCCCACAATTATGCAAATCAAGCCTATAGTTTTTGTTATAAGACAATTAAAAGTAAACTTTAGCAAATATTATTAAACTGTTCCTTTTAATCATCTCTATCATCAAATAAAAAAAGAGAAAAAAATCAATAAATCGGTTTCATTGTAGTGTAATTAATTGCCAACCTGTTTAAAAGAATACCTTATCAGCACTTCAAAAGATTAAATTATTTACTATACAATTGATGTGAATCATAAATAATTGCAACAAATAAATGACAATATTCGACAATTTTGAAATAAAAAATATTACCTTTTTTCATCTAGTCGGCATTGCTGTTCTCTTGCTCAACTGTAGTCAAATTTTTCTGCCGAATACATGCCAAAATAGACGTATTGTAAAAAAGTGTACAATCTCAATGATGCCAAGCACACAGAATCCAGTGAAAAATGACGCAGTGCAACCAATAGATACTGAGTAAAAAAACTATTGATTTGAATGTATTCCATTATGATATGAGAGATATGACCCATGAAATTACTAAACAAATTTATCGTCGAAAACAGAACCTTCCGTTTATAACGAAGTGTTGGATATTCAATCATAGACACACTTCCACCATTTGATCTGAGTAATGCATGTTGATCAGTACCACGGCCAATATTCGTGATGCCAATAATGGAGTCGACACAATTTTGTAAGCAATAGCATGGAATTCTTGTTCCATGCCCAGTTGTTCGCAGTTGATAACATTTCACTTTTTGGTGCTTCATATTCTTGCAGTATTTTCCACGAACAAACCGGCTTTGGATTTAATACTAAAAACAATCATTTTATCGTCACCAAATCTACGTCTATGTCAATTGATTTCAAACTAATTACATCGGTTGGGATAGAAGTGTGGAATGCATCCGCATAAACTATAAACCAATTCCAAGCGACATTCTTGTACGCACAATTGTTCGGTGTATATCGTGTAGTGTGTGAGATTCGATTCAGAATTGAATCGACAATGACGTTGGGCGATTTTGGTACTTCTATTAATTTTTAATACTTGAGATTAAATGCGGGAATGCAAAAGCGTACTTTTTATTGAAAACATGACAATTCATGTTGCGTTTTTTTTCAGAATTTATGTTAAAAGTATGCTTTCGTATTGCCAATCATTCATAAAAAATAGAATAAAGATACCCTTGAAGTATTTGATCGGCAACTGTTTCCCTGACCTTTTTTGTCAGTAAATTAGAACTGTTTGCGTAGAATTTATGCTTAACAATGTTCATTATTTCGTACAGACATATTCGTTAAGTACATCTATTAGATATAGTACATAAATTAGACTTACTATAACATCGTCCTTGAATCCAATCGTATAATTGTTCGTTGTATAACAAATGCCCTTTTCGGTTAAAACTTGTTCAATTCTAATATAATCAGAGTCTCGGTATGCTTGTATCTGATAATCGCCATCTCCTTTAAGTACGTGATTTTGTGTCAAGTTATAAATTAACATCATATAATCTTCCGGATCGATATTCAAACTCTAAAATAACAGCCAGAATAGAAGAATGAATGTGAAAAAATTTGATTGGCTCTAAAAATATCGAATAATTTACATCAATACTGTTGTTGTGCTGTATCAAGTCGAATGATTCATAAGATGCATTTGCCAGCGATTCCATGAACGCAAAAAATTCTACTCTTCTGCCGCCAATATCATTTTCCTTGCAATATTGTTCAAATAAATCACTGTCAATTCGATTTCTTACCGGACAAATTGTCAAACTGGACAAAGTGATATTCCAGAAATAGTGGTCGCGTTCAATTGTTAAAACGGTGCTTCGCGTTTGGTTTCGATCAAGAAATCTAAAACTCAGTTTAATTGTTGCTGAATATGCGGCGGTCAAAAATGTAAACCAGAATATCCTATTATTTTAATAAAAGAAAAACATTTTTTGAAGAACCAAAGTTGTTCAATAAAATTCATTTATTATTTGAAAAAATGACATATACTTTTCTAGAAACATTAACTGCCGAAAACCAAAATAAGCAAATCCATGAACTTTGGGTCGTTGAAAATATAAGACAAAAAAACTATGAGCTCCTTTAAGGTTCATTTTGGCAAAAATGTAATCCGTTTCCAAAGAAATTCAACGAAAAACTACCCAAGTGTTATGCATTTTAAAATTAAAAGTATTTCCATATTTAGATTTCTCATGGACAATTACATGAAAAGTGAGTTTAGTCAGTTTACTCAGCTGCATTTCATTGTTGAATCAGGTGGATTATAACGACGTTCATGCCGAATCATTCTCAACATTTCGTTTTCTCTACAATTTCGATTATTTTACATATTTGTAATATTATCATATTTTATTGTTGATATATGTATGAACCGGCTAGAATATTCGTGACCTCAAGAAATTTGTCAAAATAAAACCTGTCTTAAAAATGTCTTTTACCTTAGCAAATTTCTTGAGGTCACGAATATTCTAGCCGGTTCATATATCTATCTGAACGAACTAAATAACCGTATTTTGACCGTAATTTTGCGTGTATTTTGCATTTTATTGTCAAAAGACGAGAATGGACCGTGGATTCAAACAGATTCTGGAGTAATTTTGTAAATAGCCACTGTTATCATTTAGAAAAGCTATATCACCGGCGGCTCCTGACTTGGCTCAGGATAAAGCGGCTTTTATAAAAACTCCAGTCCTCAAGTAGAAACCAAACTGAATGATCTTTTAGTTCAAAGATTACTCTTCGATGTAAGCAAATGTAGACTAAAAAAATGTGCAAAGGTTTATTTCATAATAAAAATATTATTTTTTCCTTCCTTTTTCTTATATTTATATAATTTTATATACATTACACATTTGTTTACCTATACACACTTATAAGAATATCGATTTATGAAAATTCAATTATTTCCAATCATCATATTTATGGCATCATTTTTTTTGTTTAATACGTGCTTCAATTATTGAAAAATCTTCCTCTGTTGCACAAAAGCTTCGAATATAATTTAAATAGTTGGTTTCACTTCCAGTAATCATTCCTAATTTAAGGGGTGCGCCATTTATTTTCATTTCATGTAATCGTAATTTCATTTCATCCAATTTTTTGTTTATCACATATAATGAATGTGTAATTTCCTTCGCTGTAAGGCCAACTTCATTCTGCCAAAAATCCAAATGAGTTTTGATCTGCAATAAAAAAAAAAAAAAAACAAATAAAATAAAAAGAAATCCTTATACGATACGACCCGTTTCCATTAAGTCATTTACCTTTAAAGCGGAATATTGTTTTAATTTTGGATACTTTAGCATAGCGTCTTCAAGATCAACTTTACTCCAACCTAACCGGTTTGAAAGATAGTCCATGCTATCTTCAAATCCATCAAGCGCTTTCTTCTCTTCAAGATTTCTTTCTATTTGCCTGTAAATGGATATTTCGAATTTGGTTTTAAAAAAAATATATTCCTTTTCTTTTATCATAAACGTGTCATACAAATCAAATTGAGATGAATTTAATTGGTGAATCATTGACGCCGATATTTTATCGATGCCGGTTTTTTTAAGACTTTTGATTTTGTGCACAATTTTTTCAACGCTATATGCTTTGAAGACCGTTGAATTTGATAAAATCGTTGTACGATCTACGCCATGTTTCAAAAGAACATTTAACTTTGGTTTGAGAGTATTTGGCAAGATTTTTAAGAAGACTTTACTTCTTGCAGCAAAACCGGCGGCAACCTCAGTGACTGGTATCTCTAGTTTTGAGCTAAAATAATAAATCGGATGATCATTTCCGATGGCTTGTAATTTAATGAGGTCACGCTTATAATTTTCCAATACAATTGCGTCGGCAATTAGCAAAGGAATGAAGTCTGCAATATTATTTGGTTTCATTTGTTGCACGATCTTTATTTTCTCCTTAATTTCATCTAAAAAAACATTTGAAATTTAAATAGCACCAACATTTCATATCACAAAATAAAATTCAATCCATACCAATGGGCATAGTGAGCAAAAATCCATTTTTCCTCATTGTCACTTGGTCGATTTTCATTTCCAATAAATGGTTGACATTTTCTTCTGCCACAACTAGTTCATTTAAGTCATATACATGACTATAATATAGCTGCGACGATTCAAAATGGTTACCACCTAATAATGACATCAACGAATCAACAATTGTTTTTTTTTCTGTGGTAAGTTTCCTTATTTGTAGCATCATTTCGGCAGATAAGGCGGACCCTTTTCCGGCTCTTTCCAATTTGTATTTTTCAATTAATCTGTATGTAAAAAGACCAAAGCAATGAATTTCAACTTTAATTTTGGGCACAAATTTTCTGAACCTTTCCACTTTGGCTAAATGCCAGTACAAGATTGTCCGAGAATGAATGTGATATTTCTTCCGAGGTTTGAATGAAGAAATGTAACACCGTCATACAAAAACTAAATCAGCAACTGTTTCTCAAAGCAGTAAATCGGAGACTTTTTCTCCTTCAGTTTCTCATAGCTCTCCTCCTGACATATATTATATTCCTATGAGAAACAGTGTCTGAAAAAATCCCAATTTTTATAAGATGTTGGTGGTGTTGCATTTGAATAAAACCCCAGTAGAAGACTAACATTCATTTCATATTCGAGCATATATCTGTTAACATACTCATCGAAATTATTTTGTGATAATGTAAAATGCCACATTTTCAGCGGCTTTTCAGTAGATAATACACATTCAGAACGACGCAGCAACATTTCAGCATCATAAGTAAAAACATACACACTGCTCGCCAATTCCATGGGGTTCGCGCCATAGTCCATCAATATTCTTAATTTTTTTTCAAAATTTCGAAATGTTGTATATGTTATATCACATTTACCTAAGGGCAAAGAAAAGAATAAAATTTAAAATAATCGATAAGTAATCGGAAACATTTACCATTGGCAATGGATCTTGCAATCACTTGTGGTTCAACCTGCAATTGTTGATTAAATATTCGTTGTAAAATATCGAATTTAACATATTTTCGGGGAATAATTAACCTGAAGACGTTCGCTTAAGTAATAAATACGATTTGTGTGTCCATGAAATTCAGGTTTATATTTATCCTTCAATAATCCGCCAACAAGTTTCTTAAATTTAATTTCACTGAGTGTTATCAACGGTGCAAAATCATCAAGATTCTTCGGCTGCATTGATTTCAACATATTTATCTTCTTTTCTAGTGATTCTGAAATTGTAATTGATTATAATAATTTCTATAGATATTATTCAATACAAACACGAACCGATATCTGTTGTGAGGAGTGATGGATTCTCGAATATTGACTTCGCCGACAGATTTGAACGAAGAACTTCCAGTGTATCTGTTTTAATTGCATTTATTTGCCGTAACGTTGGGAAATCATTATAAATCTTGGCAGCAATATCTTCGGAGCAACATAATTTACGAGAAAGGTTTTCAATGACCAAATCAGCTATCGAATCAGATGTTGCGGTGCGTTGTTGTTGATGGACCATGTGCTTCACTTGCAGATATACTGAAATTACTGGTCTTATGCATTTTTGGTTGTTCAAAACGTAACTTCTGACAATATTTTTTAATAACATTACTGATTGATTATTATGTTTTGATTAAGAGAAATAGAATAAGAAAACAAAAGAATTTCCTAATAAAAACTATTTATTGCTTCAGCTGTCAAATTGAATCAATTGTCAAAATGTACAAATGTCAAAGTTTCAAATTGCTTATAGCAGCACCGTTCAAATGAATCTAACATCAATCATATCAAATAGTAACCCCAAACTGTTTTTATTAAATGCATTAATCTTTTTCGGCATGAGAACTATTTTACTCAAAAAATGCTATTGACAAAATTGGAGAACAATCGAAAACATTGTTTAAACTGCTATAAAATTGCTATAAACGAAGAGGGAGATAATTTTTTTGTGTGTATAATTAAACAACCGCTTTATTTTCACTTGTCAAATGACTGGCAAATGATAGCCTGAACCCTTCTGAATATATTTTAATTCATAAATAGAATCATTTGTTTTTTATTATGTATTTTAGACAATGATTTATACACCCTGCCTAAAGGCAGGGCTATGCACTAGAGGGTTAAATCGTGATTCCGAAATTCTAATAAAAAAAATTAAGCGTTAATAAAATCGGTGGTATTTCACCAGGGAGACATCTACGACAGAATTTTTTGTAACCTTTCCAGAAAATTAGTGCTCCTGAAAATTAAGGGGGTGGGTTTTCGGGTATCAAATTTTTTAGGGATTGAAAAATGCAGTGCTTACGATTGGTACCTTTGGTCAGCACTTTCGATTTTTCCTACCCAAGTTACAGCAATTTATTTTATTTGGGGTTAAAAAAATTAACTAACCAAATCGATCAAAAATGATTGAACAAATGATGCAGAAAATTAGTGCCCAACTAGTGCCCGCGACTAAGACCATAGTTTTGTCGAAAATTCCCTAAGTTATAACAAATTCTTTTATTTTCCATTTTTTCATTTCAACCCCTAAAAAGAAATTTCGATTTTGAGCCTGCGTAGGGAGCACTAATTCTAATTTCACCGCTACGGAGTGGCACTAATTGGGCACTAATTTTCTGAACGATTTTTAGCTCTAGTGCTTCAGTCTGTGACAATTTTGTAAATTTATCCCCCAAAGGGCTGTGAGCTAAAAATTCAAATTTACCAAATCGATCAGAAACAAACGGGAAAATGATGTCAAAAGTTAGTGCCCAATTAGCGCTCACGATTAAGACCATTTATTCAATAGTTTTGTCAATGTGTATATGTTTTACTTCAATTCTTTTCGTGAATTGTATTGGTCGTTTTTGCTCATACGTTTTTGCCTATATCTCATGACAATCACAAACTAATAATAATATGTACACAAGGAATGAAAACGTTTTACAAAGGAACGCGTTAGCAATACCGTATGGCCATAATACCTACATGGATAGCACACACACATACATGGATATATTGAGGGGAAGTTCCAAATACGGAGACCAATGTGAGAGACGTGAAATACAACGGAGAGAATTATACCGAGTGAGAGAACCACTTTATGAAAAAATATGAATACCATAAAATTGGAAAAGATAGAGATTTCTATGAATTTGATTCATACATTATATTCACACACATAGAGTGTGTATGTATGCACTATTGCACTTATTCTACTACCTTTCGTATTCTTTCTTTTTTTCGTTTCTAAAATAAAAACATGTACAGGTAAAAAATAGATTTGAAAATGAGTTTGAATCTTTTGGAACTTCAATAGATGTTTATTGTATATTATGATTGGTCTTCGAACACAATTCATTGATTCTTTGTTGAGTTTCGTTTTTTTCTCTCAAGTGAATGTGTGGGAAAGAGTTTTTTCAAAATTATGGCATATATTCTAAATTTTCTTTTATTTTCTGCATTTTTATTCAAAAATATTCAATCTGAAAGCACATATTTGTTAAAATATGAGAAATTTGTGAACGCTTTTCTATCCCAACATCTTAGTGGTATGAATTTGAATTGGATTCAGAAAAATGAAGAATCATTTATTGCAAGTTTTTCTATTTTTTAGATACCCATTATTGTGCTTCAGTTCTATCACCATCAGAGTATTCTTTGAAAAAATCATTAGAAGCAACATTTTTTAGTCCAAGGCGGGTCACACCATTAAATGAAAAACATCATATCGATCTTTGTTGTCGTTCTTCATACAAATGTAATGCATATAAACATATGGAACTGAATTCAAAAACCGAATATGACGATATTCAACATTGTGAATGCCTACATTCGTTCCAAATATGTTTGAAAAACCTGAATACTTCATTATCGAATGAAGTTGCATTCATTCATTCTCTAAATGCAACAAATTGTTATTCAAATGATCATAAAATCATTAAGTGTATTAAATTTGAGACATATTCAAGTTCAAAACATCATTTGTTCAGTTTTATGAACGTAGCTGAACGCGAAAAGTACCTTAAACGATGCACAAAATATGAGTTGGATGAAAATAAACCAAAATATTTACAAATTTTTGATGTGCCACTAAATGACCATGTATTGTTCATGGCTAATGGTATGTTTTATTTTTTTATTTTACGGTTTTTGTAAATAGGAAACCCATATCTTCATTTCATATGAAATTCATGCGTTTTCATATAAATAATAATGAGTGCAACTTCAGCACAAAAATTATATAAAAGCACAACTAACTGCACAAGAAAGTTTAATTATGATATATAGTTCAAAAGAATTGTTGCATAAATTATCTTTAGTTAGCTTAGTGACAAGTATTCAACATGAAATTGTTCATTGTCTTTTTGATTATCTGCGCAGTGCAAGCTGACATGTCTGAAAAGTTTAAAGACATGAACGGAAACAAAAAATTTCCATCTGCTATCAAGACCGCGAATTTTGTGTTTTCCGTGCTCAAAAAAGGTTTGGAAATATCTTGCGAAACCTACGACACATTTTTTAAAGGTGAGTGTTATTTGTTTAAACCATTTTAGACTCTTTTTTCGGAAATTATACGGTGTATATGCATGTGTTTTTGCTGACTGCTCGATGCTGCAAAATATAATCGTTGAGGAGCCAGCAAACAAATTCCACAATGTAGATTTCAATTGTAGTAATAATGGTTTTTTTAATTTATTGTAATATTTTTTCAGAGGTGCCTGATAAAATCAAAATAGGTGAACCTGTAGACGAGCCGAAGCATATCAAAGATAAGGCACATTTAAAATTTATACTTGACATGGTACATACATTAATTGACGCTACATGCACTAATCAAGAGTTTATTGAAAGTAAGTATCATTTTTCCTCCCTTAGAATCCATCAATAATTCAACTGAATTCAACATAAATTAATATTTATGAATTTAATTGTTTCTTCTATAGCTGAAATGACTCCAGAATCATCTAGTGAAGAGCCCTCTCTTGGAGCCCGTCCCGCACGTGTTTCGGTTGGAGGTAACAACAATATACACATTGGTTGCAGACGTCGTTAAAAATTATATTTTCTTTAATAATTTGGTTTGAGATGAAATGAAAATAAAAAAATTTTGCCGAAATGTGAAAATTACGCGATTTAAAATACCACCAATAAAATCCATTATTTTTTGTGTTGCATTCAATAGATGACTTTTATTCTACGGGATTAAAATACATGAAAAAGAGAAGAGATGAATGAAAATTTATACGAAATATATTATTTTAATGACGAATTGCTCTAGCAAAACTTGATGAACTTCTCGTATCCATTCCAGTTGATAATGTAGTGGCGTCGTCACTAGTTGGCGGCACCGCTAGTACAGCCGGGATGTTGAGTGTTTTTCCTGGACATGCTGTTTCGTATTGCAACTTGAGGCTTTCCAATTCACACGTACAAGTAGTCAATGCTGATCGTAATTCACTTAGCAGTACCAAATCGGATCGTAGCTCATTGAATGCAACGCAAATTTCTTCAGTTGGTGGTGGTGCTGGATCTACTTTGAATTCGGCCAAGGTTTGTTCCAAGGCTTTGGCTTTCTTTTGTCCAACGCTAGCCGGTAACTTCATTTTCATTGAACGTGGCGATACACCAGTGCCTCTCAAATCATTGAATTTTATTCCGGCACTTTCAACAGCCTGCAATTTTAATGGAATAACGTAAGTGATTCAGTTAAATAACACAAAGTACAAATGAAAAAAAAAAAACGCGCAAAATATATTCACTACTTACACTAACAACGAAATCAACACGTGACGGTCGAACTTGATTCGGCATCTTTTTCTTGTTAACTTTTTTGTCTTGTTTACGAGAACTGGTTGGTGTTTGTGGTGCTTCACCCTGTTGATCTGCCTGTGAAATTAACTTTTGTAGATCTTGTGTTTTACGATCGCGCTCTTTCTTTCGTGCTTCAATTTTCTTCAGTTCATTCAATAGCATTTGCTCTTCTTCTATGTCCTTCTGTGTGCGATCAAATAATTTCTTCATTTGTTCTTTACGTTTTCGTTCGTGTTCCGAATCAAAGGCGAATGGTTTCTTTTCGCTATTATTTCCTTGTGACCCTTTGACCTAGTGTATCGAAACGCAAAAATTACGTTAAAATATCCCTAAAGTGTTGCAGATATTTAACAAAACAGTATAGTTTCAAACTTGCCTTAGTTAAAACACCAACAACTTCATAATATCGTTCTTTCAAGTCTTCAACAGTTTTGGTCCCAAAATTGGCTCGATCCCAACGATCGGCCATAATAAGAAATCTCAAATCAAACCGACGTGCCAAATCAAACAAGTGATCCGTTTGTGCCTTCGACCATTTCGATTGGTTTGTTCGCAGGTGTGTGTTATACTCGTTATTCGTATAGGATAGGATGTTAAGTTTTTTATTAAATTTTGCGAATGGATATTCAGTTGTCGGTAGATTTTGGTTATCGGCAATACGACGCCAGTGATGGAAAATAGCGTTGTCTGTACGTGCCGGATTTTTGAACGGTGTCCATGCCCATTTGCGAACATTTTTCATGCCCAATCTTGCTTTAACCTGCTTGTATCCTGATCCGGTGTCGGTTTGCATAAGCGGTGGTGCATCTTTATTATCGTTATATAGCAAAGCATACACTTCACGATGCATTCCTTCCGGTCGTTTAACCGATTTTGTACGAGTACTGTGAAAATGTAACAAAATGAAATTTTAATTAAATTCGATCAAAATCTTGATATAACAATAAAACAACGTACAAATCGTTGATTGATCTTTTTTGCTTGTTCCATAGTACTTCTTTTGTTAATTCCGGTGTATTTGGTCGTTCCAATTCTAAAATATCTCTAACATCAGCCGACATTGTTATTTGCGGTAATTATACTTGTCCAGTGAAATCAACAACAACAAAAATGTTTTCAATTAAATGAATTTAAGCATGCACAATACACTCGAAATGCGATTTGGAATTCGATGAAAATTCTCCGCAAACAAAAAAAAACACAATAAATTTGGGATATTTTTCACTCGATAATAAAATCTAATGTGTTTATAGTCACAATGCACGGACCAATGGAAATGGCTTTAAAACTGTCAAAATGAGCGCTGAACGAATGTATGAGTTCGCTGAATGTGTATGAGTGCGTTTAATGCTATTCCATATGGCGTTGCTAAGGCAGATGTCATTACACTGAAAATAAATTTATGCTTCATTTGTCACTTTGTTTATATGCATGTTTTTATTTGAAATTTCGTTTCCAACCAAATATTGTTTTGATTTTTTGTTTTTAAATTTAATTTATTTCAACTTCCAGTCTCTATTTTTTTCTCTCTTTATTGGAAAAACAAACATGTTTTAAATTCAATTCTTTCTTTGTATGGTTTAATTTGTAATGAGTGATTCGGACGATACTGATATTTTGCTATTAATTCCACCGAATTTCTTTTTAACGGAAACACATCTAAATGAATCAACCAGCTACGATATGTTTCGTACAAATTTAGAGCAACGAACTGTTAAATCAACGGTGTCACCAAGGCACAATGAAAAAACAACAAATCAATCAAACAATTGTTTATTATCGCAAAGTAAAGATTTGTTTATGTCACCATCACAGTTGAAATATCGTCCATACACTGAACCAGATCCAACCATAAATATGTCACATTTGCATCGATCATTCGAACGAATAAATTGCATTGGATCGAATGAATATGTTGATGCTGATTTGTGTCGACCGCCAAATCGACGATCAAGTTCACCACTTCGAAAATTAAATTATTCACATGTACATCGAGACTATGGTAAAGAAAGGATTGGAGATTTAAGTAGTAAAAAGATGTCCGATTGGAAATTTGGTGTGGATGAACCAAGACAACATGACGATCTTATCAGTTTAACCAATGTTTGGAACAATAATCTTGACTTTCGAAGTACAACACATCAGTCCACCGAATTTGAAGAAGAAAAACTGAGACGCAGACAATGCGAACGCAATATTTCTTTACTGCAATCACAATTGAATCAATATCAAAATAAATTTACCGACGTTATTAAAATTGATCAAGCTAAAAATGATACGCTCGCCAAACTTCATGATACAAACTCAAGGTAGATAGATGTTTCTCTTTAAAGTCTGAAAGTTATTGTTCTTTAAAAAAAATTTTTTGATTAAAACTAATGATTGTTCCATTTATCGCCTATTTATGCAGTTTAATAGCCAATATAAGCGAATTGGAGAAACAAATTTCCGAGATGGAATTGCGTTATCATCGAGAGAAGGAACAGCTAACCACTGAAAATGGTGATTTAAAAACCAAAGTCGATCATTTAAAGCAGCAAAATTTGGAACTCGATCGAAAGATTAGCACAATACTCAAGTAAATGTCATAAATTCGATTTTTTTTAGTATTTTTTTTTAATTCGTATGTTTTTCTGTTTGATTTTAGATCAACAAATGAAGTGAGAGATATTCATCGAGATCAAATGAATGAAATGGAAATAAGATTATCAAATTCAAAACAAAGCGAATCAATTTTAATTGATGAAATATCAAAGCTGAAAAATGATTATATCACTCAAACAGCCAAGCATGAAGCAGAACAGGCACGATCACAACAATTGATTGATGATCAAGCTATAAAGTAAGTTATCTTCTGAAATACAGGATCTATCATACAAATGGGTCGTAGTTCAGTTTTCTTTTGGGAGGGGAGGTTAGTAATTCCTACCATGGTTAGTCTAATTAAGGATTTCAAACAGACTCCTCCAAAAAAAAAACCAAATTTAAAGCCACACTCCCTGGTATATAAGACACCCTGTATGAATGGAGGAGGGCATTGTTGTGGCTTTCAATATGATTTTTTTGCGTGAGTGCATTGATTCATTTCAAACTTTAACTGTAGATTGGAGCAGCTAGAACAAAAAGTAGCAGATCTAAGAGAAAACAATACAAATCTTCAAACCAAAGAAGTAAGTCCATATTATGTGAATTTGCGAACGGAATTTAACTAAATTCAATCTATTTGACTTGTGAATAGTCCAAATTTCTTGAAGAAATGGAATCACAGCGGGCAGCATTAAAAGTTTTTTACCAGACACAATTGGACGACTTGGTACGTGCAAAAGTCGATGAATACCAAAAACAATTCGATTCAATGGAAAAATCAATTCGAAGGGAAACCAAACAAAATGAACGGGTCATAGCAGAAAAAGCGCTCAAACAAATTGAACTAATAACACAAAAGTATGCAATAACGTCTATAACCGCAATATCCCATACATTTTGTACTATTTATCATATATGTGTTGTAGAAACGAACAGGAGTTTTTATTATTGGAAGAAAAACACCGCGAAGAGATGGAACTGTGTAAAATTCGTCTGGGCAATGCTACAAAAATTATAGCACAATTGGAACAAGAGCTAAGCGTTTATCGAGCTAAAAGGTTAAAAAAAAAAAGAATTTTCTGAAAAAATGACACATTTTAAAAGAATAATTAGTTTCAATAATTTTTTTTATTTTCATTTAATTTTTCTTTTCTCTTTTTCTTATTCGTTTGATAGGAGTGATATAGCCGAACGTTTACATAATGTAATCGAAACACAATGGCAAAAAACACTAGAAATTCTGACAACAAATGATGCATCGAAAGAATCAAATAAATTTTCATCAAATCGTATAGTAAATGATTTAGAAAAATGCGAGAAAAATAATTGCTCCAGTTGATTAATGGAAAATGCAAAGAAGAAAATCACAAAACCAATTCAATTTAAATGCACATTTTATTAGTTCATGTACAAGTTTGTTTTCTTCATTGTCGAAACAAAGCATATTTTTCCTTTGTAAATGTTTGATGTGCATTACACGACTTTAAATAATTTATCGTTCGATTTTTTTTATTGCAAATCGCATAATGATTACTGTATACAGTAAAATAGGGAATACAAAGAATAAAATAAACGAAAACGTTGAAGAAAAAATTCAACCGAAAAAATGCAAACCAAAAATTGTATATTTGACTGATAAACATTTTACTTTTTTTACATATCTTAGTGTGTTTAATTCATTTTCAGTCGAAAATCTCCGATCATTGCTTGAACTTGGGAGGGAAAACCGCCCACATTCTCTACATGATATTTGTTGATAACAAAGCTTTACATTGAGAGTTCGGATAAATTTTATCATTTTTTTTTTGTTCAAACTTAAAAAAAAATAGAACCAAGAGCATTTTATTCGCATTTAGATATGCGGGAAACAGTTTTCATCTACATACTTTACTTGTTTAGCGAATATTGAACATTCCATATTATTATTATATATATTTTTTTTTTCATTTTGAGATAAATTCATCTATTTAACTTATGTGCGGATTTTATGCAAATTTTGCAAATGAATTCTTCCTTATACATCAAATGAATATATTATATATTTATATATATAGGTAGATAGTGTTAGTTTCATAATTTTTTTTTTACTCTAGCGAGTTGAGCGTGAGCAGCTGTTTTAATACTTTTGTTTGTGATGTTTCGCGAATTTCTCCGGCTAAGAACATCTCATCGACAACGGTGTACACTTTGTAAAAGTTGAACACGAGATCCAATTCACAAACATTGTGGAAATATTCGTTGAGCACCTCGACAAAATTGTGGATGGCTTCTAGGTAACACAGATTATTATCGTTTACATCAACACATATGCAAAAGTACAGTCCAGCATAACGTCGATACACGATTTTGAAGTTACGGAACTGCAATAGATATGATCACAACAAATAAATGAATAAATAAAAAGAAATGATATTATATTAGAGAATGGACTCGATAATATTCTTTATTCTTATGAAAAATTAGAGGAAAAAGGCCATAAAAATCAATTGAATGTAATTGAATTGAATTTGAAATAATTGGAAATTGTCAAAATTGTTGTGTATCGGATAAATGGCATCAGCCCTATTATGTGTATTGTGTTGATTTTCTCCGAAAAAAATAATGACTCAAAATCCAAATAGCATTTTAAAAAAATAGAGAGAGAGAATTTATCCATTCGATTGTTTTATGCTTACCTCAACAAAATTCGTGTGTTTTGCATCACGAACGGTGACAACAGCGTGCACTTCTTCAATCAATTTTTGTTTTTCATCGTCATCAAAATTCATGTACCATTTGGCCAATCGTGTTTTGCCCGCACGATTTTGTATCAAAATAAAGCGAATCTAGAAAGAAAAAAATGTTAGCAAACAGGATGTTGAATAAAAAGAAATATCCAATACAATATTTTACCATCGATTCACTTACCATGTTTATTTTATTGTGTATGCCGTGAATGAGATTCAATTTAAATGTGAACGAAAATAAAAAATAATTCACTGTATTTTCCTTTTAATTCTTGTGCAGCAAACCAGTTAAATTAGCGTATCGACAAACTTTCTGACTTTTTTGACACCCAACATACAAATAGAAACATACACTCATACACTCATACATAAAAACACGTACGCTCACTACACAAACATGCCCTCATTTATCACTCCAATGGATGCGTAGTGTTTGATCATGTAATTGTACAACAACATTGGTGTTTGTGTGATGACGAACTGTTCTGTGTTGTAATACATTGGTATTGCC